TGAGGTTTGAATCCCACTGTGTTCTACCACATTGAATATATTCCCCCTCAGAATATATAGTCCGGGGACCATATATCTTAGTTCCCATGTCGGAGTACCTTGGTTCCTTTTGCCTTACCCGGAACGTGGGACCCGACTATATTATAAAAAATGTTTTTAAAATCCATCTCGAACTATGTATAAAGACGGACAATAGTTCGTTGACGGCCATCTTGGGTTCTAGTTCTTAAATGTATTGAGATATCGTTAGAATTATTCAAAGTATTTAGTTGAGACAAGTTATTAAAGAGAGAATCAGATCTAGTGAGCAGCCTAACAAAAAAATTGTTTCAATTTTAGAATATTACTGGCTCGTGTCTTCCTTTTCATGTCTATTTTCTAAAAACACCCAAAGTGCACAGTTTATTTCAGGAAAACTTTAGATTTTTACAATAATGTATTACTTTTCTATAAGAATGGTTACCATTCTTATTATTTGGGAGAATTTAAACATTTTTCACCCATTTTTGCACTTAGAATCCCTTATAACTTCACCAATTCATAACATATCGTGAATCTTTTGGGATGTTGCTTGTAATTTTGTCACCCCCATAGATCTGATTCGCCTTTAGTTTGGAGGCAGAAACAGATGTAGGTGCATTAATGCGTCTCTGGGCCTTTATTCATTTCTGAGATTTGTCACTGCCCTAGAGGCGCATTCCTGCCATGTTAATTTTCCAAAAGTTGAGAACCTGAAAAACTCCAAATCTGGCATAACATTTTGGGTCCAAAAGATGTGGACCCCAAATCTTTATGGGGCTCAACTAGTGGGCCTTTTTGGGCATTACTTAGCCTTTTTGGGCCTTTTAGGCCAATTGTCATTTTTGGACTTAGGGGCCCGGAATTCTTTTCCAAAGTTTGAAATTTTAAGAATAGTTTCCTCGGATGGGTAACTGAATTAAAATGTGTATCAAAAGAGCATCTTGATTCACAAGGTTTCAGTTGCTCCAAATTATTAACACAGCTTGGAAGTCGAAGATGTCGTCAAGTGGGCATAATTGTCTGTTCAAGTTGACCCTGGATCCATTTCTCAAGTTCTATTCTAGTATTTTGGATTATTTCTCTTGGATATTGTCTCAATTGTCTCTGGTGCTGCTATGATTAATACTGAAGATGATTTTAGGAGTTTACTAATATCTTAAAGAAACAGCCACTTGCCTAATGCACATCCTTTAGAGAACATGGACTATCCATTGGTAAGCACGTCATGACACTGTAAATGAATAAAGGGATAGATCCATGGGTAATGGACCGGGTAAATGAACTAAGGCACGATCGTAAATCGAAATCTTTCATGAGAACTTGAGATGCTTTATTTTTGCATGGGTCAACAGTTAAGAGAATGTTAACAATAAATCGCTTAATGAATAGGTGCAGGGCTGAGGCCCGGGTATACAGTCATTAATAAAAAAGCAGTCTTATTCTTATTCAATGTAAGTAATATAGTAAAAGAATTAATATACTATATTAGTATTAATATACATGTATACACCACGCATTACCAACTCAGTGCACAAGGGGACTTTTTAAACATTTTTAACGTATTCCTGGGCCTCTGGTGCAGGGTATGGTGGTCTTCTGTGTTTTTTACTGATGCGATGATTCTTAGGTATATGTGATCTGTTTAAATAGGCGCAATGCCAAAGCGTCCAAAAGTCAATCGTTTTGCTAAACATCAAGCAGGTGAAGTCTACACAAATATAAGCATGTCAGTTAAAAATGGTGATGTATGCGCTTTCATTCAATATAAAAAGCTCTCGAAAATAATTTCCCTAAGTTTGCGTGTTTTTGGAAGAAACGGGTGTCAACATGCATGTTTCATAATTCACTGTTCATATTTTGCTTTTATCGTTAAAATAAAGACAATTAATACGATTTACATTATATATATAATGGATAATGATTCATTGTGATCTGTATAGATGAGTTACTGTACAATTACACCTAGCGTGGGGGTCGAAATACATCAATTAAGGTGCCCGCTGAAAATATGAGGAGATCCCGCTTAAAACACGAGCAGATTTCACGAGTACCCACTTCGATCACGAGCAAGTCTTAACATTAGTAATATATATATAATATATAGTGATATGTTAAGCAACATATGTGTAGCAACATCGCAAATATTTTTCTCTGCAAATCATCATCCATTTCACAGGCCTGTCAACTTGGGAACACCTAACATGAGTGACTTGGAAATGTTGAACACCTCTCCTCAAAATGTGGACACCAGAGGGGGAGAAACACCAGGGTTCAAAGATGACATACGCTTATAATGTAAATCTGTATTGAGATGACATCGTCGCTGATTGGTCAAAAGTCGACAAACAAATGACGTCATCAATGGCGGTTTTAACATTTTCGAAATACGCTTCGAGTAATATTATGTTCATTTCTGGCGTGTTAATCAATATCATAGCTTCTCATCTCACATCAAGATAAAGAAAGGCGTACGGAATATGCCTATATCAATCAAAACATCCCATCGAAGTGTAGTATTTGATAACTAGCCGATGAAAATTCGAACGAACGAAGGTGGTAAGCAAGGGAGGTAACTATGTCTGTCATCTTTAAACTCTGGGGCTTTCCCTCCTCTTTGTGGACACCTTGGTCCAAATCTGAACACCTTGATCCAAATTTTGAACACCTTGGTTTAAATACTTATTACATCTTGCCAAATTTTGAACACCTCAAATTTTTCGCTACGCTCGCGTTTCAAACATCCATCAACGGGGGGGGGGGTAGGTACGTGAAATTTCGAACGGAATGCGTGACATATACGTAATTCGCGTGAAAAGTCCGAACGAAATGCGTACATTTTTTTCCGGCGTTCGTATTTTTGCTGTGTAGACGATCTTTTTTTATAAACTTTCTACAGAAATATTTTTGCTTGACAATTACCAGGTAAAATGCGTATTTGCGTGACATTTTCTGTCACGCAAAAATAACTGGCGTGACTTCAAATTCTTCAGCAAATGCGTGACAAATACGCAAATTGCGGGACAGTTGACAGGCCTGATTTCAGGTAGATTTATCCATCTGTTAGCATTATGATAAAAAAATTAAATATGTATTTGTAAATAGATTTTGTACATTTCGGAGCTAAACGTATATCATACATAATTCGTGCATGCATGAGTTCGTTCGTTCGTTTGCAAATGCGTTCCTTCTTTCGTTCGTGCGTTCGTCCCATAGGCTAAGGGTTAAGTAATAGTAAGCTGTATATATAAGAGACAGGTGAACAACTCTGACTTAGACCACTTGTTAAGATGGAGATTTCAACCATATTTAGTGTATTATTTTCAAAAAGCCATGGGGAGTTGATATAAAATTGATAGTTTGTAGCTCTTACCTAAGATTGAAACTCAGTCAGATGATATAGAGTGAATAATGCTGTCTAAAAGAGAGAATTTCTGAAAACCTACAATTGCCTGGCAAGTTCATTAGTAAACAAGTGATCTGATTGGTCACTGCTGACCTCCCTGACCTCCACCAGTGACAATCAGTTTCAGCTTGCCAGGCAATTGTAGGTTTCCATAGTTGTTGTTTTATATGCAGTATAATATGCAGTTTTTAGATAAAGATTTGAAAAAAACAATGATATAAGTTTGAAAAACACTTTGAAGAAGATTTTGGAGAAATTTTGGAATAAAATTTGATACCAGTAAGGAGAACTAGTGCCAAGACTAAAAAAATTTGAATAATTTTCAATCTTACTTGTGGACCTGTCTCTTATATATACAGCTTACTATTACTTAACCCTTAGCCTATGGTTCGTCCATACATCTGTCCGTTTAATCACACGCTATTTTTTCATTCGTCCGTCCGTCCATCAGTCTGTCCGTTCCTCTTTTGTTTGTTTGTTTGCAGGTTTTCGTTCTACCGTTTTGTTTGGTGAGTTTAATTAATTAAGTACCACAGAGAGAACATAAATGAAGAGTTTAATTAATTAAGTACCACAGAGAGAACATGTAAGCAAGCAAGGAAATAAGTAATCAATCAAGTAGGGAGGCAATAGAGGAAGTAATCAAGGAAGTTATATTGGAAGTAATAAAGACAATAAGAAGAAAATTGGAAAGTAAGTAAGCAAGAAGGAAGGAAAGAAAGAAGGGAGGAAGGAAAGAGTTGAGGAAGTAAGTGGGAAGGAAGGAACAAATGAGAAGGAAGACGGGAAAGAAAAAAGGAAGAAGGTAAGAAAGTAATTAGGAAGGAGGGAAAGGGAAAAAATAAGGAAGAAGGTAGGAGAGTAAGTAAGAAGGGAAGAGGACGGAAGAATGAAGAATGGGCACGCTCGTCGGGGAGCTGTAGTGTACCGACCCAGATACTAGACTCGAAAGAGAAACTTAAGGTAGGAGAGTAAGTAAGAAGAGAAGAGGGCGGAAGAATGAAGAAAGGAAGTAGGTGAGGGAGTGAGGAAGGAAGAATTGAAGGAGGGAAGGAATGGAACAGGGAAGGAAAAGTGTAAGGAAGTAAGACCAAGGGAAGGACGAATTGAAGGAAGAAAGGAAGTAAGCGAGAAAGGAAGGAAGAATGTTGGGAAGTAATAGGAAGTAAATAAGAAAGAATGGGAGGAAGGAAAGAAAAAGGAAGGAAGTGATTAAGTAATGGAGGGAAGGAGGAAAAGAAGTTAATTAATAAGAAAGGAAAGAAGGTAATTAGGGGGATATAAAGAGGGAAGAAAGGAATCCGAGAAATAGGAGGGAGGGAGGGAGGGAAGAAAGGAATACGAGGAGTAGGAGGAAGGGAGGGAGGGAGGGAGGAAGGAAGGGAGGAAGGTAGGAAGGGAGGAAGGTAGGAAGGAAGGAAGGAAGGAAGGAATGAAGGAATAGGACTGTTTCCCCAGATCTATTTTTGTATGATAAGGTCAACATTATATTTCTATTCAAATTCTATCATTGTTAAACTATATATCTGCTTTAAATAGCCTGGACTATTAGCCCGTTGCAGATTATTGATGTCACGAAATTGCAGGAATTCAAATTTCGTGACATATTAGACGTAATCTTTAAGTGTAAAAGCCGGAAGTTGGAGAATTTTAAACAGATATCAACATTTTCCTTCGAAATCCTCATAACACCAGTTTCTGATGATAAATGACAGTCTAGCGTATCAAGGTGAGTGACAAATAAAGATGAGATGAGGTGGTAGACTGGAAAAATCAATTTTCCGCGAAATTCCGTGCGAAAAATCCACAGGAAGTTGTATTAAGTCCTTTTTGGGCCCTAACTGCCTTCTGCCCTCCCCCAATCTCACACAACAGACGAATCTATAAGGATGCCAACAAACATCTAGACCTGAAAAAAAATGAAATCAAAACAAAGTTTTTTACAAGATCCTTGTTCAAAAAGCCCCCAAACTCGCTCAATATGGAGTAAAAATACTTCTCAATTGAAAAGAAACAAAAAAAGCACGAGCTGACAGATGCTTAATGACGATATAAGCCCTGCAAAACATCTACCCATCAAAACTCGACGAAATGGAATGAAATGAAAAATTCAAATATTTACCGACTCTGTAGCTCCCTTCCTGCTGTAATGTTGCTTTTCAAATTTCCTCTTCTTTTTCCTTTTACGTATTTGACTAGAAATACTGTTATGATTTACCAATATATAATGAAAATCATGCCGTATTGATAGTTATTTAAAATTTGAATTTTTTTAGAAACTTTTCTTTCAGCGCCCATGACACGTTTACGGATCTAATAATCTTTTGCGATTGGATTGGCCAGCCTAAAAGTAGGTCATGATCATTTTTACAATTAAACCGTATTTGAGCATTGAATAACATAAATCAAACCAAGGTAATTCTTAAAGATATGCTATACAGATATGTAGGTCAGTATTACATAATCGTGAAATGAATAAGTCTGAATATATCATTGGTCAGAAAACACTAAAACCTGCTTGAAACGGTAAAAGTTTATACACTCTATTCCACACTGTATAGAAATAAAATAACTTACACTATAAGTAACTGTGAGCCAATCATTGCATAGAAAAACCTTTATGCACTGTTTATAAGATTCACTGAGACAAGTGGGTCAATACTTCGTGTACTTTATGTGCTCTCATACAATTACCTTCCCTTGCATAAAGTTGCTGTACAGTTATATATAACTGAATATTATATATTCATCACAATCAACCTTAGCAAAATGATGGTTCGACGAAATGGACGGTTCGCTAAAACCAATAAACCAGGCAATTCAGGCCAATTTGGAAAGAAACTAGATAGCGTGATAGCGAATGAGGATAGTAAGTGAAATATATTTTGCAAAGGTCAGCTTGTAAACTACTGGGTAATCCTAAATGATGAGAAATATGTACAAAATATGTTTTGCATGATTTATTCATATCCCAATGATTTAACTCCTTCACTGCATCTAATAAGATATAATTACGGGACATTTAGGAATTAAGTGACTAGACCAAAGCAAGCATGTTTGAGATTTTAATGATTTTAAATAAATTACCACTTCATTATTTGCTTTTAGACATTCAATCAGTTTTATTTGTCCAACAAACCATATTCACAATTGTTCAATCCAACGAAGATTAGGGGATAAGCTATAGAGACCCCTCCATTTGTCCGTCCATCCATCCTTCAACTAGACAACATCAACACCAAAGTGTAGCAAATCCCATCGAATAGCAATGGCTGGCATTTTTTTTACAAACAAAGCATGCAGCAAAAATGGCAGCCATTTTTCAAAATGGCCACCTTCTACCAAAAGTGTCATTAGACAGTGTGCCACGCTTATAGTATTCACGCATCAAATATGAACAAAATCGCTCTACTACTTTTCGAGTTATAGTAAAATACGTTAAAATGACGGCCATTTTTTCAAAATGGCTGCCTTCTACCAAAAGTGTCATTAGACAGTGTGCCATGCCTATAGTATTCACATACCAAATATGAACAAAATCGCTCCACTACTTTTCGTGTTATAGTAAAATACGTTAAAATGGCCGCCTTCTACCAGAAGAGTCATTAGACAGTGTGCCATGCTTATAGTATTCATATACCAAATATGAACAAAATCGCTTGACTACTTTTCGAGTTACAGCAAAAATCGTAAAATAATGAGTAAAGGCGGCCATAGTTCAAGTCTTTGAAGCAAATGATTCTAAAAGTACAACATATCTTTGAAAAAATATCATTCTGTTAAGTGAAATCGTAAAAAATATTTTGCAATGTGTGAAATTGAATTAAAGCACATGATTCAATGAATAGTGGATGCTTCAATTCACTTATGTCTTCTAGTCTAGGCTTTGAATTCGGACTACCACCCTCGTTCATAGTCTAGAATCAGGACATATGTTAAATTTAATCATCTACAATGCATTGAGTCATTGGCTTAAATCCTATAATATAATATGCCTATCAATATAATATGTAATTATTTAAGTATCATCTCAATGCTTTAATTTTAATAGAATTATTTTAATATTTTACTAATATTAATATGTAGTTTGCATTACTGTTGATAAATAAATAAATGATTGCACTGTTCAGTAAAGAAATATAGCAATTGTATTATTTAAACTGACTATACACTATAGAAATGATTTTCATTGAAAAATCAAATCAGTACCAAAATTATGGTTACCCTGTAGTAGTGAAAGGCACATTAGAAATGAATATCACCCCCTTCAATCTATTTTTACAGGTTTTTATGATTATTTCAGATTTTTCTATAGTTTGCGTAACCAGGACGGTGAATTTTCTTCATTTTTCATCAAACATTTCGTCTTACCAATATTTATTATATCTGTCAATTTTATCAAAATCGCGCCGCTACGTTTGAAAATAATTCAAATTATGTAGTTTTTCCCATTGAGCTCCATTATAAAAATGAAATTTTCAAACTTAATGTTTTAAAATTCTACGTGGTGAAAAGTTGCATATTGAGTAGTTAGTTAATGTTATGGTGTTAAAAATTCAAAACAAAAAGGAATAAAGAAAAAATGCCACAGAGAAGTCTCAATAGAGTCTCTTTAAATGTAATTTTAGGAGACAGAAATTATTATTTTATTAATACATTACTTGTTTAATTTGATCATGAAATTTTTTTGGGGTGTCCATCGGCCATATTGGCATTTCCGAAAAGTTTGAAAAATAAAGTCTAGAAAGATTTGAGATTTTAAGGTATGTACGCTAAATCAGCTAAGTATTTGCAAAAATATACAAAGCTTATAGTATAAGGTTTATCAGATTTAACATTTTTTGTAGTACCTTGTGTCATTGAAGAGTTACAGAGTCGGTAAATATTTGAATTTTTCATTTCATTCCATTTCGTCGAGTTTTGATGGGTAGATGTTTTGCAGGGCTTATATCGTCATTAAGCATCTGTCAGCTCGTGCTTTTTTTGTTTCTTTTCAATTGAGAAGTATTTTTACTCCATATTGAGCGAGTTTGGGGGCTTTTTGAACAAGGATCTTGTAAAAAACTTTGTTTTGATTTCATTTTTTTTTCAGGTCTAGATGTTTGTTGGCATCCTTATAGATTCGTCTGTTGTGTGAGATTGGGGGAGGGCCGAAGGTCGTTAGGGCCCAAAAAGGACTTAATACAACTTCCTGTGGAAAAATCATGGCCAGGGTGCACTTTGGATTCTTTTTGCAAATTTAAAAAGTAAGCCACTGGATATTCTAGTTATTCAAACATTCTGAAGAATTATCAACCCTCAATTTATAGTCTAGGTAGACTGATGCATCTGTTGTGCAAGAATGAAATATGTTGATGATGTTTGGAATGAGTTATGTTTATCTGAAAATAGCACATGGTCATGAAATTTCATCAAAGTGCACCCTGACCTTAATCTAGTATGCTACTGCTAGACTGTCTACTACTTTTTTCATGGCCTGACTGCGTTGGTAGAATTTGAAAGAGCTACCTGAAGATTGGGAATCTTATTTACCTCATTTAGAAGGAAACCCGATCACCTTTGTTGCGTCAACCATTGAGCATTTAGCACTATTAATATTATGTAAGTATAAGTATGATGTACTTATCATACTTCACATCATCATACATATCATATTAATTGTATGACTTGAACGAGACCAATGTTACTGCTACCGGGTGGAATCAGACCTACATGCTTTACTATTTATACATGTTATTTCTGTTTTGAAAAATTCAATATGAGATTATAGTATTTGCGATTTTATCTTTACATCGTCATTTCAATCACCGTCAACAGTTTTCGAATAAGTTACCTTGAAATATCAAGACGGCATGCTATTCTCATACTTATAGAACTTAATATTACTGTCATTCATCATTTATCAAGCAGTAAAAAATTAACTTGCATCATGAGTGACAAAATGTTTCTACTTTCCTGGTGAATGCGTGAGGTGTATCAACAAAAAATTTGCTTTGGAGAGAAAATCTAAGTTTTAGGCCGTTTTAGGTCACCTTACAAATCAAAAGCAATAGTAGATCATATATTAGGCTATTTAGAACACATTCATTCAAAATTTAGCCATAGTGCAGTGGCAAAAATAGTACAATTTGACTCTGAAAACCCAAAAATTTTGGCGGACATTTTTCAAATTTCAAGGTCATCCACTATGCTTACCGGCAGCATCATCTTGACCATCTTCCTTTGGAGATTCGTGTACTCAGACCATCATGTACTTACATCTGATCCAATAGATTATAACCTACTTTCACCTAATTTCATTGGTTTTGTACCACATAGTGAAGTTCCTTCGTGGTGCCAACTTTGTATCCGTCAAAATACAAGTGCTGCCCCTTTTCCTAGAGCCACTGGCTTCATCTACTATATATTGCTTGCCCTCTCAGGAGACACCCATCAAAATCCAGGCCCAGTCAAATACCCTTGCGGCTCGTGCTCAAAAGCAGTACGCTGGAATTCGAAGGGAGTCTGTTGCGACCACTGCGATCAATGGTTTCATACTAAGTGTATCGGTATGGGTGATGAAATGTATAACCAGGCGGCAAATCACTCGTTTCAATGCGGTACATGCGGTCTCCCTAGCTTTAATTCTTCTTTATTCTCAAACTCATTTAATGGTATTGATACAGAATCCCTCAATTCCTCATCTACTTCCATACCAGGATCTCCCCTAAATGCATCTTCCCCCACTACAGCCAGGCCTCAACATCGAAAATATTCTCCACCCAATTGCTTACGAGTAATTAACATAAATTTCCAAAGCCTCACCGCCAAAAAGGCGTCTTTTCTCAATGTCGTTGATTCAATCAAACCTGATATCATCATAGGTACAGAGACATGGCTCAAACCTCAAATACTGAGCAGCGAAGCTATTCCACCAAACTTCGAAACATTTCGGAAAGACCGCCCGGATGGCCATGGGGGAGTGCTTGTTTCAATATCCAAGGCACTCATTAGCTCACAGATTCCCCTGCAAACCACAAGTGAGCTTGTTGCAGTCAAGGTGAAACAGCATAAGGCCAAACAACCCCTAATCATAGTTGGTGCTTATCGACCAACCAACAATGACATAGATAATTCCCAGGAGATGTGTCGTTGTTTAAGTACCCTAGCGTCTGCCCATCCGAACGCTACACTTTGGGTTGCTGGTGATTTCAATCTCCCAGATATAAATTGGCCTACAAACACCATTGAAGGCAACCAATATCTTAAGTCCATCAATGAGATTTTTCTTGGGCTTTTTCCGGACATTGGTGTCGAACAGCTAGTCGATTTTCCAACTCGTATGGCAAATACATTAGATCTCTTTGCCACTAATCGACCAAGTTTGGTTCACAGCTGTAAGACCATCCCAGGCATAAGTGACCATGACATTGTCCAGATTGACACCAACACACAAGCAACACGTCAACGTCCGGTAAAGCGCCTGATATATCTCTGGAAGAGAGCAGACATGGACACCCTTAAAACCGATGTAGCAACTTTTGCCAAAAGCTTTTGTGAGAAGTGTGACATCTCCACTCCCATACAAGACCTTTGGGATGAACTTTCAAAAGCTTGTAACCGCTTTATGGCAAAGAGCGTACCATCTAAGATGACGTCGTCACGCTTTGACCAGCCCTGGATAACAACAACTGTGAAACAGCTATCACATCGGAAGAAGCGTGCATACAACCGTGCCCGGAAATCCAAACGCTCGCAGGACTGGAACTATTATCGTTCAGTGAAGAACAAGTCCCAGCGAGAATGCAAAAAAGCATATAACACCTATTTGGATGGCTTGGTGGGTGACGGTTGTAACAAACGCTTCTTTAGCTTTATTAAGTCCAAGAAATGTGACAACTCAGGTGTGGCCCCTTTGAAGCGTGATGGCACAACATTCAGCTCAAGTAAAGCCAAGGCAGAGGTGCTCAATGACCAATTTGTGTCAGTTTTTACTCATGAGCCAGAAGGTGCCATTCCCAACAAAGGCCCTTCTCCCCATCCTAGAATGCCGAATATCAGTATTCATGTTGATGGAGTGCTCAAACAACTTAAGACCTTAAAACCACACAAAGCCACCGGACCGGACAACATATCAGCACAATTCCTGAAGATGACAGCAAGTGAGATTGCACCAGCGATTAGCCTGATCTTCCAGGCTTCCCTTAATCAGGGCAAGATCCCAAAAGTCTGGAAAGATGCTAACATTGTAGCCCTTTTCAAAAAGGGTGATCGATCGTTGGCATCTAATTACAGGCCAGTCTCACTTACATCAATATGCTGTAAAGTTCTTGAACACATCATCTTCAGCGAGACAATGAAACACCTGGAAACAAACAAAATTCTCACCAACTTCCAACATGGGTTTCGGGCTGAGAGATCCTGTGAAACGCAGCTGATCGTAACCATCCACGACCTTGCAAGAGAACTGAATAACGGAGATCAAGCTGATGCAATCTTGCTTGACTTCTCCAAGGCTTTTGATAAAGTCCCACACAGAAGGCTGCTCCATAAACTTCAGTTCTATGGCATTACAGGATCAACCCATGCTTGGATCAAAGACTTCCTCACAGATCGAACACAGTGTGTTGTCCTTGATGGTGAACAGTCCAAATCAGCTCCAGTAACATCGGGAGTGCCCCAAGGGACTGTTTTAGGACCACTGTTATTCCTTGCATACATCAATGACCTGCCAGAGGCTGTAACTTCTACCACTCGCCTCTTTGCAGATGATTGCTTGATGTATCGCAGAGTGAAATCTGAGATGGATGCGAAGAGACTCCAACAAGACCTGGACACTCTACAAAGATGGGAGGATTCTTGGTTGATGCGATTCAACCCAGACAAATGTGAGGTACTACACATATCCAAGAAAAGATCACCTCGTTTACACCAGTACTGCATCCATGACCAACCGTTATGTGCAGTGGACACTGCTAAGTACTTAGGTGTAAACATCAGTAACACCTTATCTTGGAATCCGCACGTGTCTGCCATCACCAAGAAAGCCAACTCCACCCTGGGCTTCCTCCGTCGTAACATCAGCTCCTGCCCCAGCAATGTGAGGAAACAAGCATACACCACCTTTGTTAGACCACAGCTGGAATATGCCTCTTCCGTATGGTCCCCTTACACGAAGAAGGCAATCGGGCAGGTGGAGGGAGTACAGCGACGAGCAGCCAGATTTATAACACAAGATTACAGACAAACCAGCAGCCCTACCACCATGCTGAGGAATCTGCAGCTGCCACCACTACAAGACAGACGTAATTTGACAAGAGTAGTCATGCTTTACAAGATAGTCCACCATAAGGTAGCCATTCCACCAGCGGCATACCTCGAGCCAGTAGGATCTGTGACCAGGGGTCACAACCTACGCTACCTTGTCCCATCCTCAAGAGTAGATTTACATCTTTACTCATTTTTCCCTGCAACCATACGACTATGGAACCTTCTTCCAGCAAATGTAGCCATGATCGATTCCCTGGAAATTTTTAAGAAGGAGGCAGGGAGTGTGATGCTTTCGTACTAAGTGATGACGATTTTAAAACGATTTTAGACATTTTAATGCACACTCACACTACAATTGTATATACACCGCACGCAAGCACACATAGTACGAAATATCCTAAAGAGGAGTCTGTACTGTAATAGAAGAAGAAGAAGAAGAAGAAGAATGTCGAGTCTCACATCATACAAATTTAATTTTAGGCGGTCAGTCTGCATAGGATGGTATTATATAGTGACACTAAAAGGCTCAAATTTCATGTATGGTAGTTAATGATCTCCAGATGCCTGTCGTGTAGCAAGTCAAATACTGGACATGAAAGGGAGTGTGCTTAATTCAATGTCCCATGAGGGAATGAAACCCAGGACCTTCCACTCCATAGACTGATGCTCTTCACCTGAAAACTTGTTTTCTTGTTTTCTTGGTGGTTCTTATTTTTGTATTGTACACTTATAACATATATTCTGATTACAAAAAAAACTAATTACAGTGAATATATTTGTAGGTTGGAATAATGGGGCAAAAATTAATTCAAAATGACTGAGCCAGCAGAGAATGAAGCAGGTTGGACAACTTCCACATTCAGTTCTAGATCTGAACTTGACAAGGCTTTTGATGAATATAAGGAGAAAACTGTTTCAAAATGGAGGAATGATTCTGTACAAACACAATTCCGTAAGTATTGGTGCAGTCTCCAGTTCTCAATACAATTACAATGTACCTTTATCCTATCTTTTTTATGTATAGGAGGACTTGACATATATAAGATCAATACAAAAATTCTCTCTATCATATTCTATGTACAGAAAAGCAAATGCATTAGCGCTTCGCGTGCGGTGCGCTTCATGCATGGCCCATCCATATCCAAAAGTCCCTTGGCAGATCCTTCTGAAGCCCCTGTATTCAGTGATTTAGATACAAGCTCCCTGAAAATTTGAATCCAACTCTATTCAGTTCAGTTGTATAGCTATCAAAACGTGTTATCAGTGAAATGGCTAGTGATTTTAGTCCAAGTATATTTTTCACATTGATCACTGTTTCCATCTCCCTTGCAAAATAGGTCAACCATTAGAAGACATATTGGCTTCAGTTCTCGGCAAAGAGAGGTGGAATTTACGCTGGACCAACAATGCCGAAAAACTGGTAGTAGTTCCCTATGATGGCATTCCTTTCCTACATTGTGGGAAACGATCCTTTTGCTGCCACCTTGGACCAGATAAAGACAAACACAAGAAAGAGAGAATGGTTGCAAAAAGACAAGAACGGGTAGGTGCATTCAATTTTAAAGGTTACTAACTGCAACTTAATTTTGACATATTAATGGCAATTATGCAATTTGCCAATTATCTGATTACGGAATTTGAAATTATTGAAAATATGACAAATAATAGAGCATTCACATTGTCAAATTCTCTTGATTCAAAAGTCTAAATTCACGTTTTTTTGGCCATTTTTGCATTGTCTAGTTACTTTTGATCATTAGGTTAGAGTCAAAAGTCAAATGAGAGTGCGGTATAAGGAAAACTGCTCCAAATCAACTCGCTAAAACACTTAAAATTTGTTGGGAATAAAAATTTGTTTGGATAGGATGAACAGCTTAAAGCAGATTTTAATTTTTGAAAAAGAAATATAAAGTATTTTTACACATCATTCAATATATGATCATTTTTCCACATTTCATTGGGATGCAAACATTGATCCAATCAAGACAACACTACATGTATTATAATGACTATTCAACCCTGATTCATGACATAATTTCAGTTGAACTGCTACACTTTACAGAATCCAAAAATATATTTTCATGTTCAGGGACCAATTTTGAACTACAAGTATTATATATATTGCTGTCTATTGAAAAATAATCGGCCATGTTTTTCCAGTTTGCTGAACTTGATGACAATAATAGGCCAAGCACTAGGAGACGACACACAAAGAAGATTGGATGCCCATCTAAAGTATATCAACTAAGAATTGTCAAATTTCCTGGATACAGTGTAAGTCCTCCCCTAGTACATCATTTACCATAACATTTCTTAAAGTCCCCATATCAAGTTTAAACTATTTTGGCTTATATTGTAGTCTTACCCACTGTTATCAAAATGTGAAAGTTTTTTTTAAATTTCAAAAAGTGATTTTTGAAGGATTTTTTGTTCGAAAAATCATGAATCGATTTAAAAGTTTCAAAAATTTTAATTTCAAAATTTTAGTTCTCATAGAAACCAATGGTACAATAATATCTAAAACAATATAATCTTCCCTTTAACCTGGTTAGACAATCAACATTGGTTCATTTTTGAAGTTAGCATATTAGGAAAGATTGACATAGAAAAAAATTTCAAAAAGTTTTTGCTACCTGAGTGAGTCAGTGTAATACAAAAATATTTTCAAACTATACATGGGGACTTTAAAGATATATTGTAGATTAAAAAAATGTTTGTTTCTTGAAAGCATGATAATAAACATTATATTATACCAAATACTTCCACATGGAAATGTAATTTTTGGATGGCAATATTTTATGCTGGTACATGTATTTTATCATTACTCTGCAGTAAAACCTGTCTAAGTGGAACACCTTTGGTACTTCTAAAATGTATTCCACTTGGGAAACAGTCTACTAATAGAGGCTCATTTAAAATTAAGTGAGTTGGTCTTAAGATTCTGAAAAGTGTTCCACTGACAGAGGTGTTCCACTTCTTGAGGTGTTTCACTTTACAGGTTTTACTGTATTTGTAATATTTGGGTTTTCCTTAGCATATTTTGATAAGCATGATCTGTTTCTTAACATTTCCCTGTCGGAGTTTTTCTCTTTCATCAAGGAAACCATCCATTCATTTAACTTGTTGAATTGTGTATTTCAGGTAGAAAGGAATACTCCAACTGAAAGATATGCTGCTGCTAAAAGGTTCCGTAGGGATCTTACAAATGGGGGAGTTGAGATAGAAACTCAGGAATTGTTTTTTCTGAAAATTCCACCCGATCAGTTGCATCAGGGCCACCCTGTTGGGCTTCCCTATGTAAGTATTGTCCCATTAACAATATTGATCACTACTATTTCACCGTGTCTTATTTGAAGTACATGTATGTGCACCATAAGAGTTTGCCCAGAGGCTCAGAACAAGTTAGAGCTAATTTATTTTCTCCACCAAGTAGTGGGGCCATATTGTTACTGAATGTTAAATTTTTGTAATCATTTTCAATAGTTTACTAGATAGTGGCATTTTGTCATGCTAATGGCCTGTCTCATTTCAGGGACCTGTGTATGTGTTTTGTTTTAGAAACTGTGTGTGTCAACCCTGTATACTGAATGTATGTAATGAATTACAATTCTCCTAATGCTTTTCTTGATAGGCTATTTGGAAAATTATAGATTCCTCAAAAAATGGAGCGAAAACGTCCAGCAGTCCCAGCACCAAGAAAAAGTAGAAGCAAGAAAGCAAGAATGGAGAGGGAACAACAAAAACAAGAAAAACTCAAACAACAGCAGATGGTACATCAGCAAGGGCAACAACAACATTGGACAGTTTATCAACAACAACAATTGGCAGATAGAGCCATGTATCAAGAACAACAGGAATATTTTCTTCAAATTCCGGACACAGCAGATGATGTATTAAATGACGAAATTATATATGATGGTGTAAGTAGACTTTAATTACTTTACAATGTTAATATCCAAAATTGGTGAAAAAAAGTTGGTCTCTTCAGCATGTGGTCTTTGTACATGTACTGATTGCTACACTCATTTGTACATGTACTGAGTGCTACACTCATTTTGTACATGTACTGAGTGCTACACTCATTTTGCCACCCTAGAATTGAATGTGCCATATTGAAGCTTATTTTCTTTTCATTAGCTTCTCTTGATATTATAAGCATATCTAGTTTATGAAAATTAATCCACTTAAACTGATGAAAATTGAAGGTTAACAGAACTTTCTACTATATCTGCCATGTCATATGGCCTGAATTATCCACCTGATGGTAAAACTATCTCTGGTACCTTAGTAATTATTTCACTGCTGTCAACTATTTCACTGCTCCAAATCATTTTGTTTATCTCTAATATAACCAGCTAACTGATAATTATTGAAATAAAAACTATTCAAAAGATGGCAGTCAAGTAAATAACTAACCTTTGGGAATCACCTTGCATCTAGTTTCCTATAAATAACTCTCATCTTAAAGAGAGCTCATTGCTAAAAACATATTAACATTTCTGCTTCTACTCTTGAACTGAAGGATTGTACAGTATGTATCTAGCAAGTACTTGTCCATATTATTTTAACGCATTTCACATAATGATAATTACTGTAATGGGTACTTTTCAAATCTTTTTTGAATCAAAGTACTATAGCACTTTATGGAGGATGTGTGAGCTACTGGAGGTGGTGTCGTTTTTGAAACCTTGTGAATGAAGGTGTTTTTCTTGGGATCTATATTGTAGGAAGGACTAGTAGTTAAGACAGATTTGATCAGGAATCACAATTTCTGCTCCATCTTGGTCTTGTTTTTTGATGAAATTTGCATTTTCAACAAGTTGGCAAAATCTTGATTTCCTGTTAAAATTCGTTGATAAAATATACATTTCTGTACATATGAGGATGTGTCTTTGGGAAATACAAAATTGCAATTAACTTATACTAATTACATATAAGTTGCATAAGTTGCATAATGTGAGTCCTTTCACTTATGAGCAAAATCTCTCTATTAACTTCTCAATCTATTACGACTTGATTTCCCGCTAGCTTAAGATAGTTTGAATGGGCCAACATATCAACCACCTTCTTCAATTTTAGTTCTGTTTTATGCTGATTGGTGTTCCTGGCTTGTGTCCAGAGCAAACTGCTCTGCAAACATTTTCATAGATTGCAATTTTCCAATACAATGAGTTGAAAATAATATTTCCATTTGCCTTTAACTTGAAATGAATCAAAAGTAGGGAGATCGAGTATACTTAAAACCTATTGTATAAAAAATTGAAAAGTCTAATAATGTTTATTTCAGTTACTATTAAGTCTGATATATTACTGTACGTACATGTACTCGTTCTTAATATGATATTGCTATTCATGATCAGTTATCCTCAATACAGTGCACCATGGACCTACATAACTCTTTGGAACTTATATCCTTTACAAAAACAAAGGAATAAAACTTGAAATACTGCATTTATTGGTTTTGTGTTCATAAAGTGTTCATTGGTACATATGTAAGTTACCTTTTTGTTGTTTTGATAAGCGGGTTTACTTTGAAATGATGGAACTTCCTATAGACCAACATGTTTTTAGTATAAGTTCTATAAGATATTGTTTCAGGTAAGTGGAAAGATCATGATGGCTGAGGTTTCTACTTCCATGTTATCGTGTTACTCAAATATTTTTAGCATGATTTATATTTTATTACGAACAATGTACATTGGAACTTTACTGAGTTAAATATCAAAAAGAGAGAGATTTTCCCAATAGTTCAAGGAATATATTTTATTTTTCAGCTTACAAAAGGCCCAAAGTTTTTGTTTATAAATAATACAAATCTTGATATTTCAGTTTACACAACAACTAATGTTTCACTTTGCAAAAGCTCCAATGTTTCAGTTTACAAAATTCCTCATGTTTCACTTTGCAAAAGGTCCAATGTTTCAGTTTACTAAAGCCTTAATGTTTCAGTTTACAAAAGCCCTAATGTTTCAGTTTACAAAAGCCCTAATGTTTCAGTTTACAAAAGCCTTAATGTTTTAGTTTACAAAAGCCCTAATGTTTCAGTTTACAAAAGCCCTAATGGTTGAGTTTGCAAAAGCACCAATTTTTATTCAGTTTGCAAAAGCCCTAATATTCCAGTTTGCAAAACCCCTAATGTCTCAGTTTACAAAAGCCCTAATGGTTGAGTTTGCAAAAGCACCAATTTTTATTCAGTTTGCAAAAGCCCTAATATTCCAGTTTGCAAAAGCCCTAATATTCCAGTTTACAAAAGCCCTAATGGTTGAGTTTGCAAAAGCACCAATTTTTATTCAGTTTGCAAAAGCCCTAATATTCCAGTTTGCAAAACCCCTAATGTTTCAGTTTACAAAAGCCCTAATGGTTGAGTTTGCAAAAGCACCAATTTTATTCAGTTTGCAAAAGCCCTAATATTCCAGTTTGCAAAACCCCTAATGTTTCAGTTTGGAAAAGCTCCAACATTTCAGTTTGCAAAAGCTTTAATGTTTCAGTTTACAAAAGCCCTAATGTTTCAGTTTACAAAAGCCCTAATGCTTCAGTTTACAAAAGCCTTAATGTTTCAGTTTACAAAAGCCCTTATGTTTCAGTTTACAAAAGCCTTAATGTTTCAGTTTACAAAAGCCCTAATGCTTCAGTTTACAAAAGCCCTAATGCTTCAGTTTACAAAAGCCTTAATGTTTCAGTTTACAAAAGCCCTAATGCTTCAGTTTACAAAAGCCCTAATGTTTCAGTTTACAAAATTCTTAATGTTTCAGTTTACAAAACCCCTAATGTTTCAGTTTACAAACGCCCTTATGCTTCAGTTTACAAAAGCCCTAATGTTTCAGTTTACAAAAGTCTTAATGTTTCAGTTTACAAAAGCCCTAATGCTTCAGTTTACAAAAGCCCTAATGCTTCAGTTTACAAAAGCCTTAATGTTTCAGTTTACAAAAGCCCTATTGCTTCAGTTTACAAAAGCCCTAATGCTTCAGTTTACAAAAGCCCTAATGTTTCAGTTTACAAAATTCCTAATGTTTCAGTTTGGAAAAGCTTTAATGTTTCAGTTTGCAAAAGCCCTGATGTTTCAGTTTACACAAGCCCTAATGTTTCAGTTTACAAAAGCCCTAATGTTTCAGTTTGCAAAAGCCCTAATGCTTCAGTTTGCAAAAGCCCTAATGTTGCAACTTGATTGATTATTCCCCATCTCAACTAATACAGTTTCATACTACAGTTCATATTGAAGACAGGCTAGTGATAGTCTGAATATTGGAGAAATGCATAAATGATGCACAATTGCAGTCTCACTAATTGAATGAAGTAGCAACTCAAGGGATTAACCTCTCATACTGTAAACCTTGGTTATTTCATAACATCTCATATTAACTCTGGCATTAGAAAAAAGTTATTCTATAAACAATTAAGTCACCCAGAAATAAGTCAATATTTGATTTTAAGGTAACTTGTGTATTTTGAATATAATGGGATCTTTAGATGGGTTTAGATATGATGTAAATGTTACTTAAAGGAACATTAAACTGTAGCAATGACTAAACATTGCAGTTTGATTAGTTTTTGGGACAAGACCAAATGAACGCATTGCTGATAATTTCAAATTCTACTTTAGATATTTGATTTTAAATGATTTTTAATAATATTGAATGATTACATGTTCTATGTTTCCTTGACTCAAAATTTTACTTCCAGTTTATCGGAATAAAAAATGAGATTATCTTTCAATCATCTGTTAAACACGACTTAAAGGTTCAACAGTCAACTTTAAATGGAGCTAATGCATATTTTGAAAAAGAATCATCAGAGAAGGTTTAAATCAATGACATGCAATCATCTCTTAAGCCAGAAAAATATTTTTTAACCATTCAATGTTCCTTTAATTCTGAACATATCATTGTGAAATTCTACTGGTATCTAAATAATTGATTCTTGAAATAAGCCTGCTCTGCTGGCTGCAGGCAACAGATAAAACATAGGAATCATTCTATCAGAAGGAACTAATATATTATCATGGGAACGACCTTGAGTGGTTTTCCAGGGCCTCAAATTCCTTGATCTCAATGCAAACCATATATGATTCAAAGCCTGTCCATCTAGCTAACCCATATTTTTATGTTTATGGTCATTTAGGGTGAGGTTCTAGAACGACTAACTGTAAAAATGTTGAAACATCATTTCAACGTAACTATACGTACACCATGGTGAGGTTTGGGTGTACTTATTTGAGCCGTGTTTTTTGCAAGTGGGCTTGTTATTTTAGCATTGGAGTGCCTTTGTACATACAAGTTCAATTATCAGCTGATTTTAGAAAGGGTATTCAGTCTACGTTTTATCAGATATGAACAGTTTACAAATATCTATTGATCCGAAGTGAGAGTTCCAATATAGTACATCGATTCAACCAAACTGCTACTATTACAAGGCATTGCTGCATATTAGTGGAAGAATTTCATGTTCTAGGCACCACATTGCTTTTTAACAACGGGTGAGTTCAGTTAGATATGAAGTTTTATGTAGATTGTTGTTGCTTGCTTGTTTCTCTTGTTTATGATTTCTGCAGTATAGTATAACAAAAATGTATAAAGCAAATTGTTTTAAAAGAAGAATTGATGAATATGATTTGCTATCTTCACCGGTGATCCGCTCGATTACGCTGGTTACCGAAATGATTCGTTTCTGTAACAAAATGTCGGAACGTCGAAGGTACAATTTTTCCCATTTCAAGCGTTGTAGGCAGAATCCCCACAACGTTTTTTCTCACAAACGTGTATCAGTATCATATTTTTTAGAAAATGTACATGTTTGCGAAAAAATAGCTCAGAAGACAACAGAACCGTCGATTTAATTCCTCACTTAAGTTACAGAAATGGTGTGGGTTAAAAGTGCAGATCTTAACGGTTTTTCGAAATACCGTTTCAGTAACTTAAGTGAG